AACAATGATTTATATTGTTACATAAATTACACATTTTTTTCACATTAGAAATTATGTTAATTTTTACTTATTTTTTTTAAATGAAATTTGGAAATATTGCTAAATGGGATTCTCAGAAATTGTTGTAAAATATAATAATAATGGTTTGTTCATCGACCCAAAAATGTCATCTTCTTAAAAAAAATTTTCTTTTCATCTTCTCGTCTCGCAGTATTTCACACATTTGTTTTTATTTTGTGGGCCAAAATCGTTTCGCATACATTAAGCAAGAGCACAAAGAGCAAATTCGTGCGCGTCGTTTTTTATTCAGTCGAATGAGTGCGTGAAGGTGGAGAGAAATGCGAGGAAAGGAAAATCGAGCATTGTTGAGATTTTCTCTTTCAGGATCGGGATTCACTACTGCTCCTCCACCTCCTTCCTCTTCATCCATCGCCACTACTACTTCTTCGATGCACGCGACATCCACGATAATCTCTCGACTCTAGTGGCCATCCGACGCAACGCCGAAGAGCAGCTAACATACGTATATAAACAATCATCAATTCAGCGAAGAAGTAAAAGTTCTGAAAGCGAGAGGAGACGCCAATGTCGTAATGTCGCCTCATCGATTCAGTTTACAAAGCATGACAGTTAGCTGTCAAATTTGACGTTCTGTGACGTTTCCATGACAATAATCAAATTTTGGTTGTTAAGATGTGTCAGTTCAGGATCTTATTTGCATTGACTTTCATCCTGTTTCATAACGGTAAGAATTTGTTTTAGTTTCTAAGACAAAAAAAATAATTGAAATATTGTGTGTATTTAAATTTCGAATGACTTAGCTTTAAATTAATTTTCAATTTAAATGTAGTTAAGACATGAACATTCTAATTATAAGTAATGTTTCATAATATACAGAAATTTTGATTAATCACTTAAAAAAGTCTAATAAAGTTTACAATTAAATTCATTAATTAGCTAACATTTTTACAATATTTTGGTCGAAAAAACGATGCAATTGCGTTTAAATAATTAGCACTAAATTGGAAAACGATTAATGCTAAAACTATATAATATAAATGTATAACAATGATATTACATTTGGTGCTGTGAACATGACGAATTTGGAATTATTCTAAATTAGGTTTTATTTTAATTATCGTTCGCGCGCGTTTCGTTCATTTAATTTTTCGCCTCTTCTCTTTCCCAATTAACGATTAATTATCGAAACGCCAATTGGACGAATTTCGGCTTTTACCCAATTTGCGACGCGACTGTAATTATTGATGGCTTCGTTTATTCTACATCATTAAAACAAATACATTAACGATAATTTACGAACCGACGAGCAATACACACACACACAAAAAAAGTGTGCAGAAGACAATTGGCCTTTTCCACTCGAAATATGAAATAACAGGTAATGTTTTCAATTAATTTCGCTCCAAACATCCGAAACGCAAATACGAGCGATATTCCGAAACGGCGTAAACCGTTGGACAAACAGACCGTGGGCAATTTCCACCATCAAATCCGAACGTGCAACAATTAAACTGAAAAGAATATGAAGCGGGCAAAGAATTATTATAGTTATCTGGCCCAATTGTTTTTTTTGTTGTTGTTAAGAAACACCACTCAGTTGCTAGAGACGCCATTTGGACTTAATGACAGCTGTCAATGATGTTGTTGCAATGTTGTTGTAGCCTTTAAACCTGAGTGCATTTACTTGTAAACAACAATAAGTAATTGCTTAAATCAAATTGCATTTTACAAACAGGCAGAGATATTTCAATTTCGTCAGAGATTATTACAATGTTGATCTATCAACTTCATTAATTTTTTAGTTGTAATACAAAAAGTCACCAAAGAATCTCTTCTCTTTTATTTGTTTTTCTTTTTGTTGTTCTTAAGTTACCATGGACACATCAAGTAACAATTTCTAAACAAATAAAACAAAATTTTTGTTTCGTTTTAAAAGACACACCTCAATCATCATCATCTCTTTCTACAAAATCGCAATAAACTGATCTTTTTTTTTCGTAGAAAATAAGTAAATAAGTCTTATTATTTATCAAAAGCAATAAAAACAAATCAAATATGAAATAAATGTAGCATAAAAGAATATGGAGCGGGCAAAGAATTATTATAGTTCAATTGTTTTTTTTGTTGTTGTTAAGAAACAACACTCGGTTGCTAGAGACACCATTTGTACCTAATGACAGCTGTCAATGATGTTGTTGCATTGTTGTTGTAGCCTTTAAACCTGAGTGCGTTCACCTGTAAACAACAATAAAAGTAATTAGTATTGAATATGTTAATTACGAATTACCTAAGAGTAAATGTCTTTTCATTCATTTATTATTAGAAACACGGACCAACGCAAATCATCATCGTTTTATTATTAAATTAAAACAAAAAAGAAAACGTCACAAATCATTTAAAATATTGAATTATGTCAAAGTTG